GAGCAGCGCCTTGAATTGGAATAAGAGTGTCCTGCTGAGGCTTGGGATGAGTCTAACAAGTGAATCTGTGTTTATACACATCGACTGGACCTCTGGTTACCTTGTCAGCAGAAGGGGGAAGGAAGCAGCAAATCTGTCAGTGGACTGGGAAAGCCCTTGGATAAACACTCTGTGATGGTCTGAGGTTATAGCAGCTTCTCCCTCTGCTCCCAGAGCGCTGTGGTGGGAGACTCCTGGGCAGCACATTGCAGGGACTGGTGGAGACTGGTGGGGACTGGGAGCTCGGTGCAGGAGCCTGGTTTAGATTTAAAGCAATAATTAAAGAAATCATCCTCTAAGGAGCAGGTTGGCAGGCCCAGTGGTTGTGGTGGAGAAATAAATGCTGGATAGAAACAAGGGGGTGGGGGGGGGTGGAGGAGAGGGGAGGACAGAGCAGGCAAGAACTTGGATCCCAATGAAAGGCTGTTGGGACAAAAGCTGCTCTGTACCCGTTTCTCCCACCACACCCATCACCTGCACATCCCCTTCCCGGTGAGGTGAATCCCACTTCTGGTTACTGGATCCACCTTCCCTCCTGCTGGAGATGGGACAGGCCTTGGAGCAACCTGGGCCAGGGAAAGGTGTCCCTGCCCGTGGCAGGGGGGTGGGGCTGGATGAGCTCTAAAGTTCCCTCCCAACCCAAACCATCCCAGGATTCCGTGACTCTCTGGCTGTGCCGTCCCGGTGCTGCCCTGGGAGGGGGTCCCTGAGTCTCTGACCCACGAGGGTGGGTGCCACAGGGAGCTGAGCATCCCCAGTGGGGGGCTGTGGGGAGGGAAGTGCCAGCTCTCCGGCTCGCTGGGCCGTGAGCGGTGCCAGCTCCCGTCACCGGCGGCAGCACATCGGTCTGACACCGGTGAAAACACAACAGAGGGAGGGGGCTGGGGGGGTGGTGGAGGGATTGGAAGATCCCTTTAAAGATGAACATTGTCCTGACTTCCAGCACCACAGCAGCCTGGCCAGCACGTGCCAGGATGGTGTGGGCGCGCCGGTGGCTCCGGCAGCGAGGCTGGGCTGTCATCCCATTCCCCGCTTGGCTCTGCTGGGGTTACTCTGCACCCCAGCTCGCATTAATCCCCACCAATCCACCACCCCTCCCTGCCCCTGCATGATCCTGCTCCACCCCCCACCCTCAGCATGAACCTCCACCGACCCCTCGGCAGGGACAGAAACCAGAGCAGGGTTTGACATCGCGGTTTAAAGTCAGCAGTTCTCAAAGGGAAAAAACAAAAAAGTCAAAGCAGAATCTTAATGGTATTTTTTGTGTGTGTGTGTGTGTGTGTTTTCTTTTGTTTTGTTGTTTTTGTTTTTGTTTTTTTTTTTGTTAGCAACCCAACTACTGGAGCTTTAAGGTCAGTATTTCGGATTTTTCCTGCTTCTGTTTGAAATGCATGTGCTTGGCCACCCTTGTCTCATCGCTGCGTCCGTGGAGGGGGGTGGGAGCTGGGGGTGTTTTTTTTGCTGAGGATTCCTGTGCCAGAGGAGTCTGTTCCCAGCTCAGCAGCGGTTTAAGCTCATGAGAGGGATTTCTAGTTTTGGGCTGAGTCGTGTGGATACAAACCTGGTGTCTGAGCAGGAGGGATCTGTGGCCTGCCCTCGTTCTGACCGCTCACCCCACAGCCCAGTCCTGCTGCTTTGGAGTTACTCCATTGCAGCAGAGACCTGAATTCTGGGAAAAGGATGGGAAAAAGCCTGTTTTGGATGGGGTCAGAAGTCCACCTGTGGAGCTCCATCCTGCTGGCTGCTCCCAGGCAGAGGTACAAGGGTTGCTCTGGTTTCCAGCCTCCTCCTCCTCTCCCTCCTCATCCTCCTCGAGCTGTGGAGTTGAGCTTGTCCCTCCCATCGTGGCCCTGCTGAGCTCTGGGACCTGCCACCCTTCCCATCACACGGTGTCTCCTTCACTCACCTCCACCTGGCTGATGCCCAGCACCTCTTCCCCCCTTCAGGCTCCTCACCTCCCTCTCCCAAGCCCCTCATTCCCCAGAAATCCCACCCTGGCAGGCGCCAGATGAGCTGGGGGAGTCTCGGGATGGGAGATGCTGCGCCAGCACTTCGCGGGGCTGATGGAGAGGGAGGAGGGACAAGCTCGTGCTGGGCGGTGAGGGATGTCCAGAGCAGAAAACGAAGTTGTTCGCTCAGCTGGAGGTGTCTGGGAGGGCAAGGGGCACCCCTGTCTCCACCCTCCACAATTCCCACCGGGAGCCTCCTGGCAGCACCTTGCGAACAGTCGGGCCATTGTGTGCGGGGTGCAGTACGCATGTCCCCCCCTCCTCCTCCTCCTCCTCCTCCTCCTCCTC